TTATGTGCTACAGTATGGTATGAACATACCAAAACTTACCTTATTTCATCCCCATAACTCAAGTGTTAAATTAGTCACCTAAAGTCACATAGCTAGTGAACAGCAGAGTCAGGATTCCAACCTAGCGCTATTTGGCACTTTGCACTACACCACACCACAGAACTGGAACTGTAGTATTTATGAAATCTAATACTTGCATCTCCCACAGCTCTGACAGATACTTCTTTTGGTTCTTTGATACTGTCACTCCAGGGCACAGCTGAATTATAGAAACAAACATTCAGAAAGAATGACTGCCTCCAGGGAGGGGGCAAAAGTGGAAGGGAGACTAACTTTTCACTATAAAGCCTTCTGTATTTCTTAAATTTTGTACCACATGTAAATATTATCTTCTCTATACACACAGAGAGAGAAGAAAGACAGGGAGAAAGAACTGGTTCCTGGATCACACATGCCACTCACTAGCTATATAATTTGGGACAAGTCGCCTCACTTCTTTTGGATTTTGTTTCCTTTACTTTAAAATGGGGGAGGGGAGGGCGTTATTTCTAAAGGTTTTTCCAGTTCTAAGATTCTTATTTTACTCTGCAAAAATAATTAAACATTCAGAAAGACAAGTCAAATGGCCAATCTCATTGAGTTACCTTCATTAGAAATTCATTAAGATTAGATGAGGAAAAAAGACTTGTATTATTAAAGTCAAGATTCTTTGAATCTGGAAACAGAGAGATAAAATGGAAATGAGAATGTAGAAAATAAAATAATTATGTACCCTATAGCTTTTCCTACCCTAAAATTTCTTCTGCCTTTAGGGAGTTCAGGCTAGTATTGTGAGAAATACTAAAAGGAAATGTTTTCCTCTACCAGAATCTGGCCAGTCCTCTTAAAAGCAGGAAAATGTCCAAATAAGAAGGAATTGCAATTCTCTACCCTGCCCTATGCAGAACCGATTTCTGTGCAATCTGGGCCTCACTTCACCTTTCTCAGCAAAGAAAAACCCTGTTAGTCTCTCTCACCCCAGACGGGGCAAAAGAATTTAAGCATTTGGGGGCTGGGTCCCAGAATTCCAGAGTGAGGAGACAACTGAAAGCCATTAGACTAAAAGTTATTTGGACTGCATATCCCCTTTTTTGGCTTGGATAATTTTACAGGTTGTAAGGTACATACATAGAAATGAGAAAAATTAAACACTCCATGTATGCAGATGAAGTACAAGAGGCTATGCCAAGTTTTCAGTCAATTCAACCAGCATTTATATATACCTATACTGCTGAGAACATTCCACCCTGGTGCACCAGAGCTATCGTAACGACACGGTTCCACTTCCTGCTGTACACAAAGGACTGAAGCATGAAAAGGCCTCCCCTTGTGAGTGTTCCCATCATAACGTTTTCATTCAGAGAGCTGGGGCTTACTTATTTAAATATCAAAATTTGTTTATGTTTTCACTCTTTCAAAGGAAATACTTCTAAAATGGATTATATGTAATCCCTGCCATCTTAAAGTATACCAAACACACCAGCGCCAACCTACTTTGCTTTTCAAATTCTTATGCCCTTTTCCGGTACTTTTTCCATATCCTTTCTTTCTCTTCTCTGTTGGCATTCTCTTGTCACTGTGCCTTACTTAGTCTAACTAACTTCTAATTTGTTACTTCTCATTCTGCTGTGATCTTACAAATCAGATATCCAATCCGATAGGGAATGTATATTATGTAAAGATGAAACTGGCTCTGAGGAATTAAGGGGCTCTGCAGTGTACAGCCTTCGAGACGGCAACTGAATGAGTGGCTGTGATAATACAAGTGACACAGGATGTTAAGTTGGAAATTTCACATGAGACATCAAGACAAAACAGATTTAAAACTCCAAAGTAAGACAACAGACTAAGACGATAACAGGTTTGGAGCCTATAAAAACTCCCCATCCAGAAAGAGATTAGAGAAAGATCAAAAGTGTGGAGACTGAGACGAAGTTGGTGAGGAGGATTTCTTTGGAGAAAGCTGTTGGTGAGTCAGGAGTCCCATTCCTCCATCCACCAAATGGGGTGGGGGTACCTCACCTCAAGCCTAGTGAGACAGGCCTCCAAGACACAACCTGAGGGACTTGACACATGACTCCTAGAGAGTGAGGGACATAGCAGGCTGATGTTTGACTCCTGCATGGAAAATCCACCTGCTGAGAGATGAGCTGAAAGAGAGGTGGCTGCTTTGGGGTTGGCCTGCACTCACAAAATGTGTAAGGGCATAAGGATAGATTGCTAGTGGGAATGTAAAATGGTGCAGCTGCTTGGCACAACAGTTTGACAGTTCCTCAAAAGGTTAATCATAAAGTTTATGATTCCATTTATACAAAATATCCAAAACAGGCAAATCCATACAGACAGAAAGTATATTAGTGGTTGCTTAGGGCTGGGGGCAGGATAGAGAAGAATGGAGAATGACTGCTAATGAATGTGGGATTTCTTTTAGGGGAGAAAAAAATATTCTAAAATTAGATTGTGGTGATGGTTGCAACCCTGTGAATATACTTTAAAAATGCTGAATTGTACACTTTAAATGGGTGAATTGTATGATATGCAAATTATACCTTAATAAATGTTAAAAAGAGAGAGGGAAAAAAACAGAGCTGGAAATGTTCCCAAATGCCTCTCTAAAATTAAATACCTGCTGTACCCTCTTGTTACCCAGTGAGTTGCTGGATCAATTCACCCATCCCAGATGTTTTCCTCACTTCCTGACTTTGCGCTGTACTCTATAATTTAGTATTAGCAGAAGGTTAATAAAGACAACACATCCTTTGTTGCTAAATTTTATACAATGTTTACCATTTTTCTCCAACATACACATTTCCTCTGTTTTCCAACTGCAGCTGAGCTGCCAAAACCTTATAGAGAGAATAATTACCCTTCTCCATCCCTTGGTGCATAATCAACTGTCTACAGCAAACTAATGGTTTGTCTGCCTCTCCCAGAGGCTTTAAATTCACCAAGCTGTTCATTGAACTGTGATGGTTTTTTTTTCCCCTCTTCTTTGGGCAAGAACAGGAGAGTCTCTCTCTGTTTGTTAGAAGCTAATTCACTTGCCAGAATGAAGCTCTCTGCTTTGCATTCTTCTCCCTCCAAATGCAGTGTATTGAATTTCAAAGGATACCATGAGAGATTTGTACCAAAGTTTAGTCACAACTAGTCCTAACTGACAGCATTTTCATGTGTTCCCGACCCAACCATTTAACAGTTTTTCATCACAATATTCATTATTGAAGATGATCTTTCTGAAAGTTAGTGGGGCCTTGTTCTTTAATTAAGAAAACTTGCTTTCTAGACTGTTCTATATAATTTCTTGTCTTTAGATAATCTGAAAAGTCCTTGCCTGTGAATATTTAGAACACGATACAAGACCTATCTTTTCGAGATTCTCCAAATAAGGAATCAAAAAAATAAAAACAGCCTTATACATTGCTACTAATCACTCAATCACCAAGTCATGTTTATCTATCAGCAATTTCTTATTTGTGTACCTGGTCAGTCCTGTAAAGGGTATACTCCTTTTTTTTTAATAGTGAAATTAAATAAAAGGGTAGTAAAGATCTCACTTCAGTAATAGAAGTGAGTGTGGTGAAAAATGAGCTCTGAATTTTTTAGTAGGTATTTTACATCTATGTATTTATCAGTATCATGCAGTGAGCCTAAAACATAACAAAACAAAAGCATCTGTCTTCTTATCTGAAAGGTGTACTCTATACCCTCATACACAGCTGGTAGGAATGTAAAATGGCTTTTTGTGTCTGGTTTCTTAACTTGGCATAATGTTTTCAAGGTTTATCCATGTTTTCGCAAGTATCCATACTTCATTCTTTCTTAGAGCTGAACAATATTCCATTGTATGGATACCACATTTGTTTATACATTCATCAGTTGATGGACATTTCGCTTGTTTCCATATTTTGGCTATTATGGATAATGCTGCTATGGACATTTGTGCACAAGTTTTTGTGTGGACATGTTTCCATTTCTCTTGAGGAGAGCAATTGCTGGGTCATATAAGAGTTATCACTTTGTAGGATTGCTATGAGTTGGAATCAACTCAATGGCAATGGGTTTTTTGGTTTTTTTATGATAACTCTGTATAACTTTTTGAGGAACTGCCAAACTGTCTTCCAAAGTAGAAATATCATTTTTACATGGAATATAATTTTGAAAGCTGCTTACCAGTGTAAATATTTTTAACAATAAAGTATTATCATAAAATTATTAAAATAAACTTTGCAGAACAGAATTTACCCCCAACTCCATCTGGTCCTAACACAATGGATTTCATTTTTATCTAAAAATACACAAACCCATCGTCGTCGAGTTGATTCTGACTCATAGCGACCCTATAGGACAGAGTAGAACTGCCCCATAGGGTTTCCAAGAAGCACCTGGTAGATTCAAACTGTCGACCCTTTGGTTAACAGCCATAGCCTTAACCACTGCGACACCTAAAAATACATACTTCATGCATATTTATAAGATTGTAATCATAAAGAACATACAATTTATATTCTTTTTTTTTTCATTTTCAGTATACATTTAAATAGTCAGTTGCTGGATTCATTTACTCAGACTGACTTCTTTATGATGGTGATTACTATCAAAAGTCATAAAGTAGATTCAATATTATCATACATTTTTAGGAAGCCTACAGTACTAACAAATGCCTCTGTAGATTCCTTCAAAAGACATGCTTTCATCAGCGGCACGTGCCTGTTAGAGAATATACACCGTTTTAACATTAGAGTAAATGATGAGATAAAAAAAAGGTTTCAAAATGTATCCATTTTTTCATTTAAAAATAGTCAGCTTATAGTTTCCAGTTTACAAGGTGAAATGATTTCGACAGCTTAAAATTTAAGATTAGTCATTCCAATTCCTGAAGTACCAATTAAAAGACAAAATAATTTTAAAAGACTAAACACTACAAATATTAGCTAAAAACATTAGTGATTCAAATTACCAACCTTAAATACATCCTCAATACATGTACTAAGTTCTTCTTCTGTCACCAAAATGGTTCCTGGTACCATGTCATGCTCTGGAATCTCTAGAGAACACAAAATAAAATTACCTACACTGAGTGCCTCACTGAATAAAAGAAACAGAGCCTAAGGAAGAAAGTTTTACTAGAAAGGTGGTTTAGTATGTGTCATGGTTTGTATTATGTCCCCCAAAAAATGTGTGTATCAATTTGGCTAGGCCATGATTCCTGGTACTGTGTGATTTTCCTGTATGTTGTAAACCTGCCTCTGATGTTAATGAGGAGGATGGGTGGCAGTTGTGTTAGTAAGGCAGGACCTGATCTACAAGACTGGATTGTGTCCTGAGGCAATTTCTTGAGATATAAAAGACAGAAGTGAGCAGTGAGACAGGTGGACCTCAAAGCATCAAGAAAGCAGTGCCGAGAGCAGAGCGCGTCCTTTGGACCAGGGTCCCTGTGCCGAGAAGCTCCTAGTCCAGGAGAACACTGATGAGAACGCCGAGAGAAAGCCTTCCCCTGGAGCTGACACCTTGAATTTGGACTTTTAGCCTACTTTGACTGTGAGGAAATAAATTTCTCTTCGTTAAAACCATCCACTTGTAGTATTTCTGTTATGGCAGCACTAGATGACTAAGACAGTATGTAACAGCTAAGATTAGAAAATCAACATGGTTACCACTGCACAATACAGCACCGTTCAAATACAACATTTCAGAGAATCTATCATTGCACCAATTACAAACATGCATCCTTATTTTATGTATCACTAAGAAAGAGAAAGAAGCCCTGGTGACACAGTGGTTAAGAGCTTGGTTGCTAACCAAAGGGTCAGCAGTTGGAATCCACCAGCTGCTCCTTGGAAACCCTATGGGGCAGTTCTACTCTGTCCTATAGGGTCACTATGAGTCAGAATCTACTCGACGGCAATGGTTTTTAAGAAAGAAAAAAACCACTGCCAATTAACCTATGACATTATCATCACTTAGAATTTTTATTTTAAATTTATTGAATGAGAAAATGGGGAGGAGATGAAATGAAATGACAGAGAGTTGATGTTTGTGTGTAGATGATAAGTACAAAGGAGTTCATTATACTATTCTTTGTATGTTTGAGTATATTTGAAAATTTCTCTTTAAAAAGTTTTTTAAAAGAGTTTAAAAAGTATTGAAAGCTCTCCTTTAGACTTATTCAGATACACAGTTTTATTATATACCATTCTTTATACAAGCTAAATAATTGGGATAAATGAGACACAGAATTCTTAAAACTTCACATTCAATGTCCACCTCTTCTGAAACACTTTCATCGATGTCCATGTCTTTCCATAAAATATTTTTCTCTGCTGAAGGGTAAGACAGTATACAATACTGGGGAAGCCAGCACAGCTTGTCTAAGGCAAGGTCATGGAAGCTCCATAGACACATCCAAACTCCCTGAGGGACTGAATTGCTGGGCAGAGGGCTGTGGGGACTATGGTGTTGGGGAACATCTAGCTCAACTGGCATAACATAGTTTATAAAGAAAATTTTCTACATTAAGACTCCAGAGTAGCATCTGGGGTCTTAAAAGCTTGTGAGCGGCCATTTAAGATACTCCACTGGTTTCACCCCATCTGGAGCAAGGGAGAATGAAGAAAACCAAAGACTCAAGGGCAAGATTAGCCCAAAGGACTAATGGACCACAACTACCACAGCTTCCACCAGACAGAGTCTAGCAACACTAGATGGTGCCTGGCTACCACCGACTGTTCTGACAGGGATCAACACAGAGGTGCCCAGACAGAGCTGGAGAAAAATGTAGAACAAAATGCTAATTCACGAAAAAAAATACCAGACTTACTGGTCTGACAGAGACTGGAGAAACCCTGAGAGTATGGCCCCTGGACACCCTTACAGCTCAGTAATGAAGTCACTCCTGAAGTTTACCCTTCAGCCAAAGGTTAGACAAAACAAGACAAAATGAGCACACTGGCCCAGGGGCAAGGACGAGAAGGCAGGAAGGGACAGGAAAGCTGGTAATGGGGAACCCAAGGTCGAGAAGGGGAGTGTTGACATGTCGTGGGGTTGGCATCCAATGTCACAAAACAATATGTGTATTAATTGTTTAATGAGAAACTAGTTTGCTCTGTAAACCTTCATCTAAAGTACAAAAAAAATAAAAATAATAAAATATTTTTCTCTGTGCCAACAAGAGCACAGGTAATACAACATTTTTTAAAACTATTGTCAGGATTTTCTTCCAAGTCACTAGCATTCATTCTGCAAGTTTTCTTTTTTAAAATTTTTTTATTGTACTTTAGATGAAGGTTTAGAGAACAAATAGTTTCTCCTTAAACAGTCGCTACACATATCATTTTATGACATTGGTTAACAACCCCACAACATGTCAACACTCTCCCTTCTCTACTTCGAGGACTTTTTTTTGGTGAAAATATACATAGCCAAAGTTACACCATTTTGAAAGTTTCTACATGTACAATTCATTGACATCGATTACATTCTTCCAGTTGTGCTGCTATTCTCACTATCCTTTTCTAAATTATTCCATCACCATTATCTTCAACTCACTGTCCCCTAGG